GATATTTCCCATCCATCCTCATTCCAGTCACATTTTGATATTTCCCATTCATCCCTGTCCCATTCACATTTCGATATTTTCCCATCCAGCCCCATTCCAATCATATTTTGATATTTCCCATCCATCCCTGTCCCATTCACGTTTCAATATTTTCCCATCCAGCCCCATTCCACTCACATTTCAATATTTTCCCGGTACCAATCACATTTTGATATTTCCCATTCATCCCTGTCCCATTCACATTTCAATATTTTCCCCGTGCCAGTCACATTTCGATATTTTCCCACTCAAAACCAAAAGTGGGGATTTGCACCATTCCAGAGAAGCTCCTAAATTCCCGTCTTTCCATTGACACTCCATGTTTGTTTTCACACTCGAGAGACCCCAAACTGCTGGAYCTCAAAACCCCCGTCCCCTCTGGTGTCCCTGTTTGTCGGACTCCTCTCCAAACCGCTGCGGATTTTTTATTCCATTTCTCCTCCTATTTCCAAATTATTTTGCATTTCCTGGATCCTAAATAAACAGATCCCTCTGAAACAATTTCACACATCTCCACATTCCGTGAGTGACCGAGACTGGAAAATATGGGATTTGGTGTCCCTCAGGACAAGGACAAGTCCTTGCTGCTCGTTTGCAGTTCCACCCAAAAAGAAAGGTGAGCTTGGGAACTCCTTCCCTCCTCCACAGCTCTCCTCRTGCAGAGCATCAGCAGGATTATCTGCACGGGTCTCCCAAAACGAAATCCCGGATATCCACCCCAAATCTCCATCCCAAATCTTCATCCCAAATCTCCATTGCTGAGCTCAGATCCGTGGTCCAGCCAGCCTCGGACGAGCTTCAGGCTGTGCCCGAATCAGCCCCCTGGATGAATTCTGGGGTGAACCCTCAGGAATGCTGTCCTGGGATCAAATCTGGCACCAGCCCTGGAATGGTTCTGGAGGTGCTCCGGGTGTTTGTGATCCCATTGTCCTGCCCTGGCCGCAGGAATGACCAGGACAGAGCTGCCGCTCATTAACACCTCAGCTAATTAAATACTCTCCCTGGACGGCGCGCAGGAATTCCTGAGCACAACGACACCAAAACCACCACCAACGCCAACACCAACTCCCGGCACCGGCTCACCGCGACGCTCCTGAAACCTTCCCCGGCCCAGAGCCCGGCACGGCGCGTCAGCGGGCACCTACCTGCGGGGAGAGGCCGTTGCTGACGGGGTTCATGTGGTTGGCRGGGGCGGTGGCGTTCATGAAGCTCTCGGAGTAGCTGGAGAAGCCGTGCCGGGCGCCGTAGGCCGAGCCCGAGTCAGCGGCGGCGGCGGCCAACCCGCCCTGGTGCATGGTGGAGGGCGGCAGCGGCTGCGGCCGGTGCACGGTGCTGCCGCCGTCTGCGGGGACACAGGGACAGGGAATGGGCTGGGATCACCTGGGAAACGCTGGGAATCCAGGGAGCCCAGGGAATGGTGGCTCGRCCATCCCGGGACACCCCACCTCCAAAATCCGCGAGGCTGAGGGGAAATGTCTGGGTTTTCATTTTGGTTTTCCCCCACAAAGAAAACCGTGAGTTCCTTTGGAAAGGCCAAAGGTAACTGGGGTCAACAATATTCCTTTTGATGGAATTATTCATATTCCTTCCACTGGAATTATTGATATTGCTTCCACTGGAATTATCAATATTCCTTCTGCTGGAATTACCAATACTTTCACTGGAATTACTGATATTC